GATGCAAGGCGAACAAGAGGCGGGAAATCGCCGGGGGAGCCGCCGCGCTAAAGGCAACGGTGATGCCGTCGCCGGTGGAGGTGGTTCCTTTTGCCACGGTGATTGCTCCAAGGTTGTCGTCCCCGCTCATGTCGCCGACGCGGCAATCGAGCATTACCCAGCCCGGATTGGATTCCCAGCTGATTCGAGCTCGCTTTACAGCCGATGGCATCCGGGGCTGCAATCCCTCCAGCGTGGCTGCTTCACATGAGCTCATGATGAATCAGCGGCTACGGGACGGGAGGACTTTAGGGTTTCGGAGGCGGAGGCGGCGGCGGCCGAGGGAGAGGGATCGCTTTGGTGGAGGATTTCTTAGGGTTTGCGAAGGCCGACGCTTTCGGGCGGGGGAAAGTGGACATGTTAACGTTGAAGGAATAGTTCATTTGAGCTCCCTTACTTGTCGACGAATCCGATTTTCGTCCTTCAATCAGAAAACCAGATACAACGGGTCCTCAACTGTCAAAACCAGTGCAGATAAGGTCCCTCGGCGGTTTGGATAGCAGTTTTGGCCAACGTGGCTAATTTGACTTAGACTTCATCTGATGTAGCATTGACGTCGCACTTACGTGGCAATTTTATCTGAAAAAATAATAAACCTCGTGGGACCCACATGTCAGTTTCACACAAAAAAATATTTTTAAAAGGTGGGCCCACGTGGGCCCCACATGTCATTCTCATCCCTCCTCTTCTTCCTCCTCTCCCATCTTCCTCTCTTCAACTCTCTCCCCTCTCCTCTCTCGCGACGGAGAGGCAGCGGCGACCGGCGGTAGAGGAGGGCGTCAGCCTTACACGTGACTTTGCGCATGCTGCTACGTGTCTCCGAGCAGCCGTCGTCCAGAAACAGTTGCAACCTGCGCAGAAACCCACCTCCACCCCGTCACCGGCAGTGGCGCCGAGCATGGTCCAAAATACGTTCTCAATTTTTACTTTGAATTCTCAGAGCATTGGAAATAATTATTAAGCAATAAAATAATTAATAGAGCTTATAAAAAGAAAAAGATAAAACGAAATCCCCTCTTTCCTTTCGGCCAAAATCTGGCCCAAAGTTATCATCCCCTCCTTTCTACCGAAGCGAAGCCGTCCCGGAGGTCAAGATTATCCATGAGGAACCTCTGCACATGGGGTCGGAATCCGACTCAACTGCCGAATCCTCATTCTAGGCACTGGAGCCGGAGGAAGAAGAAATTCATCCTCCGGAAATTCCCTTCCAATTCAGGGATGATCCTTATGAAAATTATGGAAACACCCTAAATTCGAGCAAAAGAAAGCCTCATCCCAAGCATGAGCTGTTTGAGGAGGTGATGTTTGTATCTTCGTTCGTTTCTTCTGAACCTATTGTATCTTCATGAAACTGAACGACTCTCTTCGCCCTTGATCAAGCTTTGTCCCTCTGGTCCTCAGAATGTTGATCTTGTTTATCATCAAGAAACAACCTAGTTCTTGCGCGATGCATCTCTTGAGAAGGAGAATCTTCAGGCCACGTGACAAGCTTGAGACATCGATTCTATAGGATGAGAGAAAACATTCCGCAAATAAGCATGAGAGTTTTTATTTCAAAATTCCACAGTATTCATGCTCGCATAAGGAATCCCCAGAGTCTTGTCCGATTAGTATCGCTTACTTGTGCGAGGACCACGACCACCTTATGGTCCTCATTTCTAAGATGTTTAGAAGTGTGGTTGTGGATGCTTATATTTATCATAAATACAAAAAATCTCGTATTTGTTTGTGGCACAAATCTTGCAGCATGATATCCCTATGGCCGAGCTTGTGACCATTAACAAAGTACTACCGGGAGATAGCCCGAATTATCATGGTAAGTTTTTTTTTAATAAAAGCAAGAACCAGTTTTTAGGGTAATATGCACCTTCGGGTATTCTTGGTCGCTAACCATTTCAGGTTGAGATTAAGAACGAGGGTCATACAATGCCTAAGAACACGGGAGCCACATCAACTGTACACTATGGTGATTTTTGGTATTGGAACACACTCTACAGGAGGCTTCGACATCACACACTTAGTTTTTTATGTCTTGCGACACAAAAGTCCAAGTGTGGGGGAGGGAGGTTGACGAGCTTTTCATGACAAGTTCCGTCAATCAAGGTCATCATGGTTTAATGTTGGTGTTAGCCTCACCTTGCTAAAAAGAAAAATAATAAAAAATAGGTTCACCATTTCTTTTACTCCTACTTTTCTCCATGTGAATATGGCTTGATCATAAATGTTATGCCTCATCCATTTATGTATGGCCTGGTTTGGGTGTATTATCGATGTACACCCATAGGTTTTTTGAATTAAGCATGGTGCTTAGGTTGAAATAGTATGCTTTAATCAAATTAGACATGGTGTCAAATTTGATTAATGAACCACTAGAGCTAGCACTTTCATGGATATTGGATGTATACCTTCTATGGAATAACCCCTGCAGGAAAGTTTTCAAATCCATGGGTGAGTCATCAAGTTCAATTCTTACTGGAGGTAAGTCAGGGCCTAGGAAACAAATCAATAAATTGCTAACATGCAAAGGAGGAACATATCACCTTTCTAGGTGCACGGTGAGTATATTGTCAAATACTTCTTTGATTATGTCCGTGCAATTTTACCTCAGCCCTGTATGAGTTTTTGCTTAAATAAAAATTTGATGAACAATAAAAATTTGAAAAAAAATGTTTTCAGAATAATCTCTCAAAAAAAATGATAAAATGATGGCAAATTTGTGGGGCCCAGGCTTCTTATGTTTTGAATCCAATTTCTCTTTAGCATGGATGTGAACAACTAATCTTAAGGCTACGATAAAATCTTTTTAATTCTTTATAGTCCCTCGGGTATTTGTTGTCTACTAATCTTTTGAAGGGAATAAATTGACAATCACGGAGTAGTGTACAATAACTTCAAACACTAATATCATGCTTCTTGGTCTTTGAGAAAAGAGATGCACATGGAACTAAGCAGAACAAATGCAAAACCTTTTGCATTCTTGCATTCGATTCAAAGCTTGGTAACACCTTATGCATCATCGTCACATATCTCCATCCTGTCAGGATACCCACCATATCCATCGTTGCCATAAAAGAAGGCAAATAAAATAAAATAAATTTTGCTCCTTGGTCTTCCAACCAAGTGAGTCCCTTTTTGCTTCACTCTTGTCTTTGTTTTTCTTTTTTTTTTGTCCAATAAAGAGTCCCAGGTGCAAAGACAAGTGTGGGGGTGATCTTGCACACCAACGCCATAACCATTGCAAGATCACCCTAGAAGTGATGAGTCATGACAAACCACACAAGGGAAATTGATGCAATCAAACCCAATGAGGTGTCAGCCAAACCTGCAGTTCGGCTGAACCACCTCTACTATGAATCGTCCTCTGTTTTATACAGAGCGCAGGTTTGGACAATTTTCTTTGGACATCCATTCTATTTTGAGTTTAATATAATTATCAATTGTAAAAATATCGAAGATAATTAAACTCAAGCTAGGGATTGTACAATTAGAGTTCATGATCTCCCTGAAAATAACATGCAGACGTCATGTCAGGGTAGTTAATTTCCGGTGTTTGCTCTGTTTTCCACAGTAGGTTTGAGGTGGGAGTAGAGGTGGTGACAGCCCTCAAGTACACTAAAGTTCTCCCTGCCCGGGTACGTTGTAGAACCATATCTAGGAGCAGCGGACTAGCCAGCACCCGAAATACCGCGTTAGGATTAAATAGAGCTTTTTGTAGAGACACTGTCTCTCACTAGTAAATCCTCTCTACCCTTAGCCTATTTTAGCTTCGCGTCCTTTGATGAACCTGGAGAAGCGCTGATACACACGTTCCCTGTGGAAATTGATACCTTGGAATACTCCCGAGTGAAGTGCTACATCGGTATCTTTTGTGCGCTTGCGGATTCTATCTGATGTTAAGAAATACCAATTACAATCCAATAACTGAGAAAAAAGAACGGAAGAAGAATAAAAACATCACCGGGAAGCCGCCGACACCATCGTCGCCAACGGATCCATCCACGGGAAGCTGCATACACCGTTGGTGAAGCCGGATCTGCGATGTCTACGTCACGGTTGGATCCACCGCGGGAAGTCGCCGGCACTAGATCCACCCGCGGGAAGCCATTGACACTATCATCACCGCCGTTGGGAGGGCGCCGCTGCATCTTGAGGGTTGAGCGGGCGCCGTCGCCGACAAAAACAAAGAGGCCAAGAGGGAGGGACGGCCGTTGAGGCCGACGGGTAGAGGGGAGAGGGGGAGGGACGGTCGTCACCGCCGTCTTCATGCCGTACCCCGCCGTGTAGGTGAGACGGGAGGGAGAGGGCGAGAGGGAGCGGCACCGCCGGTAGGGAGATAGGAGGGAAGGGGAGGGGGAGGGGCGGAACCAGTGGGAGAAGGGGGAGGGGGAGAGGCGGCGTCGGCTAGGAGGAGGCGGCCGGCAGTGGGCGGGAATTAATCTAGGGTTAGGGTTTTTTTGGCACCAGGTTTTGATTGATTCGGAATTGATCTGAGCCGTCCATCAAAACGAACGGCTCAGATCGATCGAGCGTCGGGCTAGCCTCCATCACCGGACCGCAGCACTGCTGGGCCGCACCCGGGGCGGCGGTCCAACACAAACGTGGTTAGATTTTCGGTTATGGCTCACACAACAAGTGAGAGGAGGAGTAGGGGGACTTCAATTCGACTTTGGTCGCTTGCGGCCTGAGGAAAGGTCGGCTCGGTTGCGGGCTGAAGAAGAAAAATGGGTTGAAAATGGCCCTTAGGGAAAGGAGGATTTTTATCTAAATAAATGCTGAAATGATGTTTGTATTATCAAAATTAGCAACTAAGCTCTGGAAATTCCAAGAAAATTTCAAAGAGTGTAACTAATATAGAGAATTTAATAAAAATTAAATCCAACCATATCATTCTATTTCTCACACTTACTTTACCTGTAAATTAATTTAATTATATACCTACCTACTTAAAAAATACACAAATATTCTGGAAAATTTGTTTTTCAATTAATTAGATAATGTAAATCTTTCTCAACAGTTCCTCAATTTTCTCGCCTTTTCTTCCCATTGCAATGCATGGGCACTTTTGCTAGTATACTAATAATGTAGGTATCCCTTATCCCAATTTTATTACAAAGGTACAAATATCACAACTCACAACCAAGAGTTGTAATAATAAAACACGCTATAATCTGAAATGATCATATAGCTCTAACTTTCATCTGTGCACCGTGCATTGGATGCAGAGTTACCATAGTATGCGGCGCATGAGTATATGATGGCGCAAGCTCAAACTCCAAGCGTTGAAGAATCAGGCACAATGCCATCTTGGACTCAAGCAGCGCGAAGTTTTGGCCGATGCAGATTCGTGGCCCCCAACCGAATGGGAGGAATGCTCCCGGATCCTTAGACGCCTTAGAGATCCCCTCAGAGAACCTCTCAGGCTTGAACTCATGCACATCACTTCCCCATGAGTCCGGATCATGGTGGATGAACAACACGGGGATTTTAATGCTAACACCAGCTGGGTAAGTGACTCCTCCTATCTCCATCTCTTTGTATGTTTTCCAACCAATCTCGATGAACGGTGGGTGCAACCGAAGAACCTCGTAGAAGATCATTGTCACCTGCATGACACATAAATCGATGAGATTTAATTTAGCGCATACGAGTTAATTAGATCTAGCTGCACTCATGATGAACGAAATGGAATTATAAAATTATGCAAGATACTGACAATTTTGAGGCGGCTCAAGCCTTCGTAGTCAGGTTTGTTCTTCCTAAATAATCCCATAATCTCTTCCCTTGCATGGTCCTGCCACTCCGGGTGTATGCTTAATAGCAGCATGGTCCATGTGAGAAGCACTGATGTTGTCTCCGCTCCTGCAAAGTAGAACAGCTTGCACTCCTCCACGATATCCTTGATTGTCAACCCCTGGCTTGATTGACCATTCTCTTCCATGTGCTTTGTGTTTGACTCAAGCAATATGCCAAGTAAATCATCTTTTGTGCTTTCACCTTCTTTCATAGCTTGCATTCTTTTCCCAATTAAACCTCTTAGAATCGATTCGATCTCTTTATTTATTTGATGCATCTTCCGGTTGTTCTCAATAGGCAAAGACCTGAAATGGAAAATATATCTTAAATCAGTTTTTTGTTTGCTCATCGCCTGAGAAATATTGAATGAAAGAAATACGATAATCTTTAGAGGAAAGGAAGCCACAATCCAACAAATTAAATAATTATTCGCATCCATTACAAGCTAAGATATTTGGGTTTGGCGTATGCAAAATACATTGGGAGATTGCTGCCATGAGAAGTAAGGAGGACCGACATGTACATTTCTTTGTGGTAAGGCGTGTACAACATTTTTCTTCTTTCTGTTAGCCTTTGGTTATGTAACTTTCTTCCCCTCTATTAATATAAAGCCAATCAATTTGATTGGCCGTTTGAAAAAAATGTATCCTATCAATATTTAAAGGTTGACACATCCTTACTTGATTGGTAATTAAAAATTTAAACTAGCTGAACGGATTGACAAAAGTGTATGGTCGATGATGCCATCTTTTATAACCATTAGGAGGTATAGAGAGGTATATGTACCTTATGGTGTAGTATATCCTTCCTGATTAATATTAAACTAGCATGGTGGCCCGCACAGATTGCGCGGCTAGCATCATTATATTTTCTCTCATATAATGCCATATATGTTTTCTCATTATATATATTCTATGTGGACTCTATAATATTCTTTATAAAATACAATATGAATATTACACATTAGTAGTTTTGTAAAGTTATTGCAAAATTTAGAATTATGTTGTCATTTTAATATATTTGAATAATATAATGAGAAAACATATATGCTATTATATAAGAGAAAATATAATAATGCTAGCCGCGCAATCTACGCGGGCCACCATGCTAGTTATATAATTAAAGGAATAGAAAAAGGAGCCTCCACGTTCGCTCTCATGGTCTAAAAATTTTCACATTAATCAGAGAAAAAGAAAAACAGAGTCCATATAGAAATACAATTTAGAAATAGCTGAAATTCGGAATTAAAAAATAAGGACTATTATAAGAGAAGACTAGAGTCCATATAGAAATACACTTTAGAAATAGTTGAAATTCGGAATTAAAAAATAAGGAATATTAGAAGAGGAGTATAGAGTGCATATAGAAATACAATTAGTAAATAACTGAAATTCGGAATTAAAAATAAGGAATATTAGAAGTAGAGTATAGAGTCCATATAGAAATACAATTAGGATATAATAGAAATTCTGAATTAAATATAAGGAATATTAGAAGTGGAGTATAAAGTTCATATAGAAATACAATTAAGAAAAAAAAATAGAAATTCGGAATTAAAAAATAAGAAATATTAGAAGTAGAGTATAGAGTCCATATAGGAATTTAAAACTAACTAAAATTCGAAAAAAAAGAAGCCTCCACGTTCACTCTCATGACTTATAAATTCTCACATTAATCGGAGAAAAAGAAAAAGCAGAATCCATATAAAAATACAATTTAGAATAGCTGAAATTCGAAATTAAAAAATAAGAAATATTAAAAGAGTAGACTAGAGTCCATATAGAAATACAATTTAGAAATAGCTGAAATTCGGAATTAAAAAATAAGGAATATAGAAGAGGAGACTAGAGTCCATATAGAAATACAATTTAGAAATAGTTGAAATTCGGAATTAAAAAATAAGGAATATTAGAAGAGGAGACTAGAGTCCATATAGAAATACAATTAGGAAATAACTGAAATTTGGAATTAAAAATAAGGAATATTAGAAGTAGAGTATAGAGTCCATATAGAAATACAATTAGGAAATAACCGAAATTAGGAATTAAAAATAAGAAATATTAGAAGTAGAGTATAGAGTCCATATAGAAATACAATTAAGAAAAAAAATAGAAATTTGGAATTAAAAAAATAAGGAATATTAGAAGTATAGTATAGAGTTCATATTGGAATTTAAAACCAACTAAAATTCGAAATAAAAAGGAGTCTCCACGTTCGCTCTCATGGCCTAGAAATTCTCACATTAATCAGAGAAAAAGAAAAAGCAGAGTCCATATAGAAATACAATTTAGAAATTTGGAATTAAAAAATAAGGAATATTAGAAGAGGAGACTAGAGTAGTTATTACACATTAGTAGTTTTGAAAAGTTATTGCAAAATTTAAAATTGTGTTGTCATTGTAATATTTTAATAATATAATGAGAAAACATATATGCTATTATATGAGAGAAAATATAATGATGCTAGCCGCGCAATCTGTGCGGGCCACCATGCTAGTTTATGTAACTTTCAAGTTATTTACTCCCTCCGTTGTTTCACAATGTAAGTTATTTTAGCATTTCCCACATTCATATTGATGTCAATGAATCTAAATAGATATATATGTCTAGATTCATTGACATCAATATGAATGTGAGAAATGCTAGATTGTCTTACATTGTGAAACGGATGAAGTAGTTATTTACTTTCTGCGTCTCACAAAATATCAAATCCTAAAAACCCGATGTAGTTTTAGTCCAAGCAGTGAAAGACCAAAACACTCTCATCAAGTGCAACCATGTTTAGCACTTTTGTTTTAAAAAAAAAATCCATGTGAACACTAAATCGTTCCCAGCCCCTTCCTCGGTACCAGACAAGTGATAAGACGAGACAGGGAAAGGATAAGATGTAGTTAGTATTTATTGATCTCTGCGTGGGAATCGGTTTTTTTTTTTACAAACATTCGACCCCAAAATTTGACTTTTTGTGGGATGGTGGGAGTATATCAGTAGCCTGCACGAATGCGCCAGCATCTATCTAGGCTACAATATCTTTCGGATTATTGATGCCACACTTTTTGAGGTATGATATCTCTAAAATTTTGTTTAGATAATTTTTCTAAACTATTTTGGTAACTCTATAAGTCCCAATTTTGTGAGATGAATAGAGTGAAAGGGCGTTTCACCTTATGTGCCAATCTTTTCTTTTTCTAAAAAAAAACCTTGTCAATGTTCACCGTCGGAACCCACTGCACAATAGTGCTGAGGTTCACCCAACTCATATCCAGATACCTAAGGGAACGTAACAGTGACAACCAGCTAATATCCGTGGAGTATATATGTGTCATCAAAAATAGAATCAATACTGATAATGTCGTTGTAACATTTTACTGTATTTTTTCTCTAAATCTTAATGAAATTGGTCGACCAATCTTTGGCGGCCCGGCAAAAAAAAAAAAGTCAATACTGGAATGACGCAGGTTGGAGAGATTACCGAGCTACGGTGGTATCCTCCCGATGAAGCTCGAGACCCGTCAGGGGTTCGTATCCTCTGCATTTGGGACCAAAGGCAAAGTTTGCCGTTGGTTCCATCCAGGCCATCCATACGTCAATCAACGGTTCTATAGTTTAGCAGTTAGTACCCTTTTAGTGACTAATTAGCAGCTAATTAACTAATAGAGTTTGTTCAATCTTAAAAAAAATCAAGGGAACGAACTCCAGCGGTAAATCAAATACAAGTAATACCTCCCTCGCCTTTTGAAACCAACTCAAAAAATAAGATAAAAATCAAGAAGCAAACAATCTCAGGATAAGAAAATCTTTTGTTTATTCAGTAGTAAAATAATTATCCCAAGTCTAGCAACTCTACTGCTAAAATCCTCCAAAAAATTAAACATTTATTTTGAAAAAACTAAACTGTTTTTGTTGTACGAGAGTATTTTATCATAAAAAAATAGATAGAACCGATCTTGTTAATTAATTGGACTAATATATAGAAATGATTATATTAATTAATTAGTTGTTAATCGTCTTTGTGGTGCTAAACCATGCCGCCGTTGATTGAAGTACGGATGGTCTGGATGGAACAACGGCAAACCTTGCCTTTCCTCCAAAAGGCAGACGATAATGACCCGTCTATATATTATATACTAAAAATCTATTAAATTTCCTTAAATGCTTTAATGCTCTCATGTGGCAATCCTCAAAATGCTCTCAAGCTGACATGCGATGTTAATAAAATTCAATCCTCAATTTTTATTTAACTCGGTGGATTCAATATTACAAGCCGTTGATTTGATTGAGATTAAAACAAACCAGAGAGCCTATCCCGTACATCTGGAGCAGTACCCGGGCCGCACGTCCAGGACGCCCGTGGCGTTCGCGGAGAGCGGCGGTGACATCCCCGCGTCCGCACTGCCCACTCACCAGGTTGTACGGGTACGCGACGCAGGCGCACGCACGTCCAGTCGTCGGAGTACGAGCGGCAGTCCAGGTGTATAGTGTCACCGGACGGTTCCGGTTCGCGACCTTACACACACGCTGGAGTTAGAGGGGATTGATTGTGCGGTGCGCCACGATGGGCTTGGATTGGACGGTGTCGGGCAGAGATCGGTGACCGCCATTGCGCTCGGAGGTGACAGTGACACGAGCAGAAGCGAGAGTCCGAGCCATGGGAACACACATACGCTGCTGCCTGCTGGACTCGGAGACGAAACGGTGGTGGCTTGAATAATGGCTTTGATCTTATCAACGTCCACAATGTCCTTTGCTCATATCGATGTGGAAGTGTAAGGTGTTTTTTTTTGTTCATTTTCGGTCAATTACCTAATTGGAGAAAATACCTAAAATTTGTAAAAAGAAGTTCTTACTTTTCACTTAAATTGTAACAAACATTGCCTATTCTAGCCATAACCATCTTTTAAGTGTTTGCATACTAATGTCTTCAATCTATTATGTACCATATACCGTTGCATTATGAGTTTCTTCATATATTATTACATATATAAGCCATATAAAGACAACAAGTAGTTGGTTTAAAAACTAGTATATTTATTACTATTAAATTTATATTTTAGGACTTATGCCGACTAGGTATCTATCTACCTATTATATATTAAAAGTCAATTAAACTTACTATAAACGCTCCTATAGCGCCATGTGGCACTCTACGAATACTTCTAAGCTGCCACGTGGTAAAAATAACATCTAACCATCGATTTTCATTTAAAGTGGTGGATCCATTCTTTTACGTAATTAGATCACAAAAACAGGAAGGGATGTGCTTCTATGCTCCGCAAAAAAAAAAACTTGCACGAAAGTTAAAGCTAATCAGCCGCTGTGATTAGAAGCGAGATTAGCACTTAATTATCATTAGCGAGGGGTAATATCGTCCAAAGATTTTCGAGCACATATCCAGCCCAGTCCATCTGAAGCGATCCCCACCCCTACCGGTCCACCACGGCGCCGCTCCTCAACCGCACCGCCGCGCCGCCTCCACTCCCTCCTCCCCTCGCCTCGCCGCCGCTGCTCCGCTCAACGCCGCCTTGCCGCCCCGGCGCTCCGCTCTCTTCTTCCCCTAGCCTGGCCGCTCAGCCCAGCACCGCCCGGCTTGCTGCCTCTCCATCCTATTCGTCCCCTCGTCTCGCCGCTTCCCTGCCCCTGCGCCGTGCAGCCCGACGCACCCCCTTCATCTATCTCACACGCGTAGTTTGCTTGATGAGTGGTTTGCTCCATGTCAGAAGCTTGGTATTGCAGCAAAACATGGCTATTTTGTCAGGTAAACATTTTGAGTACTTTTTTTTCTTCTTAAATCTGTTTTTATTTGCATTTTCTCCACACACTATTATGCAATTGTACAGTTGAATTATTCAGGAGTATGATGAACTTTTTATATTCTCTCAGATGGAACAAAGCAGCTGAATGGGAATCAAGCTATCCAAACCATGATTTTGAGTGGAAGCACATCGCTGAACCGGTCATGCAAGTTTACACCGAAACAACTGATGGGTCCTCCATAGAGCCAAAGGAAAGTGCTCTATTATGGCATTATCTGGATGCAGACCATGACTTCGGATGGACTGGGCTGAATATGGGCTCGAAAATCTTTGGACAAAATTACCCCTCGCTAATGATAATTAAGTGCTAATCTCCCTTTTAATCACAACCGCTTATTAGCTTTAACTTTCGTGCAAGTTTTTTTTCGAGCATAGAAGCACATCCCAGGAAGCAAATCCTAATCTACCTTCAATCTGGACCCCACCCATTTGTGTGACGTGCGTATACGCACGTACACCGTAGACCGTACCATCTCCTTTTCCTATTCTTTTCTCTTCATTCTATTATATCTCTTATTTTCCTTCTATTAGTTACAAAGCAAAATTTATATAAAAACATTTAAGCAACTATTTCTTTAGAAACACATAACAAAACCAAACACTCACAACGCACGTATACTCATCCCCTACGAATGCACATACGTATACTCTATCCCTATGAGCAACTATAGTATTTTCTTAAGAAACAGAACAAAACCAAACACTCACAACGCTCGCATACTCATCCTCTACAAATGCACATACGTATACTCTATCCCTATGAACACATTCGAAAACATTTAAATCATACATCTAATCTTATATGCTTATGTTGTTATATTTATAGTATCTAAATCATGATCGGCCTATGTTGCTAGATTATTTATGATTAATAATTTTACAGTTAAAAACCATATTTACTATAAGTATGTCATTATTATGGATAGGTTTATATCTGAAATAGTAAAACCCTATAATTATCTTAAAGAAAAAATTCATCTCCCGAAATCACACGATCTATTTATCTCTTTATATTATTTTACATTTAGAAAACAATGTTCACTGTAATTAAAATTTTCATATGTCACTTTAGGGGTTATATTTTCTAACTTTACCGTTACATTCAAATAATTACGAACTTATGAAAAATTAATAATGATATAGATTTTATCGTTGTATATAACTGCATAATAATTAAATTAGATCTATAATGCTAAAGTAAAATGGCAAAAGGACTAAATAGAATTATTTGGATAGAATCTAATAAGTTTGTAAAAAAATTAGTTCTTACTTTCTTACAAAAGATGTCTTTGTTAATTTATATGCAAGTATGTAATAACTTGCACCAATTTGAACCAACCAAAAGGGTGACTAACTTGGTTCTACAAATGAAACACATTTATTAATGATAATAGTTTAATAGGATTTGTTAAAAAAACCACTAAACATTCAACTAAATAAGAAACACCTTACATTTAAGTTAGACACGTTTTCTAAACAAACTAAATATAACTCTATACTGAAGAGATCATAGATAGTTTTTATAGGGATGTGTTAAATATTACTATTTTGAAAGGTAACAAATAGTTTGGAAAAGTTATCTAAGCAATGCGATGAAGAAAATTTATAGAGAAATAGTGGTTTTCATGGTGGGTATCATCCGGTTGATATCCCGTCTATTAAAGTTTTTTAAACGAAATCTATCATATATGCCCACGCAACGCGTGGGCTACCTTTCTAGTTTAAATAAATTCTATAGATTAAGTATATCATAGAAAACAAGGTTTTTCTTTATTCACTCATATATATACTCATAGATATGTAAGTATGTAAAAATTACGTGAGTATGAACCAATTAGAAGGAGGGGCAGCTCTATGGTACAAATAAAACATATTTATTGACAATAATAATTTTTCAGGATTTATTAAAAAATAGAGCACCTAAACATTCAAATTAAAATGAAAAGCACCTTATTTTTAATTTACACTTAATTTGTTAGATATTTCTTTAAACAAACTAAGTCAACCTCCTTACAAGATAATGAAAAATGTTATAATTAATTTCTTATAGATATGAAGTAAATATTGTAGTTTAAAGCTAACGAACAACTTGAAAAATTTATACAAGCAATGCTAATGAAGAAAATTTATGAAGAAATAATTATTTTGAAGCGTGGTAGGTGTTATCCGATTGATATTCTGCCATTATAAATTTCCTAAAGACAATATTCGATATATGCCCGCGCATTGGCGCGGGTTATCTTCATAGTTAATTAGAGAGCGACGACTTGGACTAGTAAGTCAACAACCAAGAGCACATCCAGAGTTCCAGACTGACTCGGAGTAAAGATATATAGGGATGAAACTGCTCAATTCAATAACATCAGGAGTCATGCATAGCTGTTAGTACCAGTTAGCCAGACAAAGTTGCTGATCTGCACCAGCTCGAGCAGAAATCCACAAAAAACAGCAAACAATGCACACGCTCCATGTCTCCTGCATCCAACTAGCCATTTGTGCTGTTCTTGCTCGCTCAAACAGAGTGCCCCAATGGAACATCTGCCTATCATCCAAATGAAACGGGCATCACCACCGAGAGGTCAGCTCTTCTGGCCTTCAGAGCAGGTTTATTAGACCCTGCAAACCTCCTCTCGTCATGGGAGGGTGACGGCTGCTGCCGATGGAAGGGCGTCGGGTGCGGCAACAGAACCGGCCGCATCGTCAAGCTCGCTCTCCAAGGCTCCGATTGCGGCCAAAATATTATCAGTAAGCAGGGGATGGGAGGACACATAAGTGATTCACTCTGTTTGATTTACATCACCTGCAGTATCTCGACCTCAGCTGCAACACGTTCAGTGCCCTACAAGTACCAGAGTTCCTATCTTCGCTGCGCAACTTGAGATATCTCAGCCTACTAAAAGGGTACTAACTGCTAAACTATAGAACCGTTGATTGACGTATGGAACTAACGGCAAACTTTGCCTTTGGTCCCAAATGCAGAGGATACGAACCCTATTTAGATAGATTACGCACGGTCTTGACACATTATTGCAGGATGTTGATTGAAGAGGCAAACAGACGACAGATGTGGCCGGTTGATAACAGTGTCTGGGCATGTAAAACACGGCAAGGTGAAAAGAGCATTGAATACGGAACGCGACCAATCAGATATAGTAATAATATATTACTATATTTGTTTTTTTAATGTATATAACACCGTTGAATTTTTAATCACCGTTTGATCATTTGTCTTATTCAAAATTTTTGTGTAAATATAAAAATTGTTTAAATTATGCTTAAAAACATTTGATGATAAATCAAGTCACGATAAAATAAATAATAATTACATATTTTTTGAACAAGACAAATGGTCAAACGCATTGTAAAAAGTTAACCATGTCATACATTAAAAAACGAAGGGGATAAGACAAACGGTCAAACGTATCACAAAAGTCGATGACGCCATACACTAAAAAACGGAGGGAGTATTAGATATATCTCCTATGCCACTTTTATTCCAAAGGTACAAATATCACAACTCACAACCAAGAGTTGTACTAATAAAACACGCTAGGTCCTCGAAAAAAACATGCTAGGATCTGAAACGATCATATAGCTCTAATTTTAATCTGTGCACCGTGCATCGGGTGTAAAGTTATCATAGTATGTGGCGCATGAGTGTACGTTGGCGCAAGCTCAAACTCCAAGCGTTGAAGAATCAGACACAACGCCATCTTGGCCTCAAGCAACGCGAAGTTTTGGCCGATGCAGATTCGCGGTCCCCAACCGAATGGGAGGAACGCACCCGGATCCTTAGATGCCTTAGAGATCCCCTCAGAGAACCTCTCTGGTTTGAACTCATGCACGTCACTTCCCCAGATTTTCAGATCATGGTGGATGAACAGCACGGGAAGATTAATGATGACACCAGCAGGGTAAGTGACGCCTCCTATCTTCATCTCCTTGTATGTTCTCCGCTTAAGCTCGATGAACGGTGGGTACAACCTAAGAACCTCATAGAGGATCATTGTCACCTGCATGACGCACAAATCAATGAGATTTAGTACTTACAAGTTAATTACATCTATCTAAACTCATGTGAACGAAATGGTATTATCAATTAAATCCTACAAGATACTGACAATTTTGAGGTTGTTCAAGCCATCGTACTCAGGTTTGTTCTTCCCAAATAGTCCTAGGATCTCTTTCCTTGCACGATCCTGCCACTCGGGGTGCATGCTTAATAGCAATATGGTCCATGTGAGAAGCACTGATGTTGTATCCGCTCCTGCAAAGTAGAACAACTTGCATTCCTCCATGATATCCTTGATTGTCAAGCCTTGGCTTGATTGACTATTCTCTTCCGTGTGTCTCATGTTTGACTCAAGCAATATGCCAAGTAAATCATCTTTTGTGCTTTCACCTTCTTTCATAGCTTGCATTCTTTTCCCAATCATACTCCTTAGAATCGATTCGATCTCTTTATTAATTTGATGCATCTTCCGGTTGTTCTCAGTAGGCAAATACCTGAAATGGAGAATATATCCAATCAATAATTTGAGGTCGTCACATCCTTATTTGAGTGGTAATTAAAAATTTAAACTAGCTGAACGGATTAGGACAAAATTGTATGGTCGACGATGTCAAAACTTTTCTAACCATTAGGAGGTATATAGACTAGAGAGGGATATGTCCCTCCCGACTAATATTAATTACCCGTAGCTCTCAAAGACTAAAGAAAAACTCAATATCAAATACTAAACTGGATTTTCAATCCGATTATTTTTTTTACTCTCTTTTTGGAGATCATGTATCCCGCAAGTAACAAGGAGATATATATATATTTCCAATGATAGGGGATATTTTGACTGAGAGAAATAAGATACGTACTTAAGACTGCTCAGTGTAACCAAATAAATATGCTCTCGATATTAAGTTAAGAACCAGGGAAATTAAATTACTCGGTACTTTTAAGTATTAAATTCTCACATGTAACCCGGGATGAAAATCTTCTCGACGGATTTCATTACACGCTCAAATAGCTCGCCCTGCAGCTCGAAGATCCTTCTTCCTTCAAGATAGCTGCTTCCGAACGCGGTGCGCGAGATGACATCTCCGGTGAGGCTCTTGAGCTCCGGCCAGCAATCCACCTCGTACGAGCCATCAGAACCAATGGCCCCCATCCACCTGCTGATCAGCTCCTCGCAGCACGCAGAAAACACCGGCAGCATGAGCTGCACACATTCTCCGACGACATTTCAATGATCAGACAAAGAAAAAAATTGGCTAATACTTCTATTTTATATTATAAGTTTTTTTTCCTATATCGGACTTTCTAAAGTTTAATAATAAAAAGTTATAGCAAAATTTATAACACTAAATTAATTTTATTGAATCCAACATTGAATATATTTTTGTTCATTTTGTGTTGAAAATATTGTTATGTTTTTTCAAAACTTAATCAAGATAAGAGAAGTTGGACTTAAAAATAATCAAAGCATCTTATAATATACGATGAAACGTAAGAATAGCTACTACTAGAACAGTATGTAACATTTAATATTTTTGCATGCATAAGAGAGTGCAACTTTTTCTCTCAAATTCAATATGTAAATTGGTTGCAAGAAATGGTACCTTGAGCTTCTCGAGCTGGAAAGCCGGGTTGAGGATCCTCCTGTGCTTGGCCCACTTCTCGCCCTCGTGGTAGGAGAGGCCCTGGGGCAGCAGCTTCGATAGCGCCTGGAACCTGATCTTCTCGAAGTGGCCGAACTTGTTGGACATGACGACCTTGGCCAGCTCGGGATCGGTGACGTGCACCTCCGGCGTCGGGCCGAGCCAGGTGATGCACGGCTTGCCGTAGTGCTGCTCCGGCCTGACGACGGCGTCGTGGAGGAACGGCTCGATGCGCGGCGCGATGTCGTGGCACCGCAGCGGCAGCGGCCTCGCCCAGGCCTCCTTCCTCCGCCGGCTCTCCTCCGCGAGGTCGCCGGTGAGGAAGCGGTAGGACGAGCCGCGGAGGCCCCGCGCCCGCAGCGCCTTCTCCAGCCGCCGCGGCCGCCACCACAGGCGGTGGAGCTGGAGGCCGGCCTGCCACGCGAGGACGAGGCCGAAGAGGAGACCGAACGCCACGAGGATTGTTGGCGATGAGGCCGGAGCCCACATCAACAGCCACCCTCCAAGAACCATTACTTACTACTACTGGCCGTGATCAGCCTGTAAGTATAAGTGAACAGGGGGAATGAAGTGAAAAGAAGCTTATGCAGTGGAAGAAGGATGTGGTACAGCTTGTGCTGGGTGTCAGGTTAAATAGGGATGCTTTAGATGCATTAGTTACTTGAGCTAAGGTAAGTAACTTAGGCCGTGTTTAGTTCACCCGCAACTACCCCAAACTTCCAACTTTCGATCACATCATATCACATCCAAAACTTTCCTACATATATAAGTTTTTAATTTTTTTTCCAAACTTCCAACTTTCCCAAACTTCGGGCATGTTCACTTTGATGATATTTTCAACATTACCAAATTTTGGTAAAGTTATCAAAAAAAAAGTGGCTACATTTAGTTTGCTGTTAAATTTTGGTACTATATAAGAAATCCTATCAAAATTTTGGCAAGTTGCTAAAATTTTAGCATAGTTGGTAAGGTTTTTTTTTGACATCAAAGTGAACAGTTCCTTTTAACTTTTTTCAGTAACTAAATACAGCCTCAATTAAAGCCTCAATTAAGTTACCTTGTTGGCGCCAATAAGCGCTAAGGTCGCAAGGAACTTGGTAGAGAAGAAAATTCCAGGGTGGGGAGTCTGATATGACGAAGCGACGGATGTTACCCGGATGTTTCCTGCTGTTCATGTGACTGTGGCAGTGTGAGTCGTTACGTTGCCTGCTGTGTGTGAGGACTGAGGCGGTGCTTCGTTGCTGCTTCCTTTTGTTTTATTCATCTCTGCCTATTCAAGTACCCTGCTTCAAGCTATATTTAGCTCTATACCGATTACCAATGGTCATGATTTTGAAAAATTAATTCATGTTTTTTTTTTGCGAGTAAAGGCTCAAGATATATTAAATACAACTATGGATACAACTATGGACATATGCACGACGTATCCAAGGGGTGAACCAGTGGGTCCATGGACCATCCAAAAATTCATTTGTCCCAAAGGTCTATATATGAAATAACTGAGAAAATATATGTGTGGAATTGAATAATAAATTGATATGCAATAAAGAATCAAGAGCTAAGAACATGAAATAAATAATTATAAAAACAAAATGTCAAGTTGGACCACCCTTAAAGGAAATTCTGGCTATGCCATTTCATATGAACACCTTTTGGTTATGGTCTTTTGGATTATGGACTATGGAAAGATACACGTGGAATGGTTCACTTCTAGAATGTTTTAGCCACAATGAAGTTCCTGGAAACATCATTCAGGGAGGATTTTATGCCTGCATCACCTTGAGATGGAGGTCACCAGTTTCTTTCAGTTATATTCAAGGTTGCACACTCTTTAGGACCTGTTTCATTAATTCTTCTCTACCCTTTCTACTTATTATTTTCAACTACTGGCAAAATGCTCAAGCTTTACTATGGACAGAAGAAAAAAATATAGTAAAATATTTTTTATCAAATATCTTAGTATCACTTGTTTATTTTTTATTACTAGCAAAAATACCCATGCGTTGCACTGGGTAATGGCGGGATAACTGAAGTATGATTTTAACAATTTAACAAAGCACCCAAGCATAATCATAATCATTGGAGATATGTTCGGTGACAAAAGGTCATGTTTGATTTTGAACAATTAATTTTGCCTACATGTGCGGGACGTGGATAATGTTTCTAACATGTGGTCCAAATGGTTGTAGTGTTGGAGGAATGGATGGAAGAACAATGTAATTGTATTTGCGCAGAAGGCGACTGATGAGAATTTATGTGATGAATAAAAATATTGATATTATTTTTAAGTAGGTAACTCTAATAAAAAGATAAATGAAATTTTATGGTACTCTATGTACTTTAATTATGAGAATATGGTCTGTGTGGATACCTAAAGAAAATACGTGGAGTTAAACCGACGACACATTTAGATCGTGACATGCGGATGTTCACGACACGTTAGAATAGCGAAAACGATGTTATTCTTTTTGCATTTTATTTTGTTTTTTGAGAATCGATGCCAAATCCAGCTTATGAGATTCCAGTTATCAAATTGATGATCGACACAACTAAAAGATGGAATGGGTTGTTCCAATCTAATCTTGACAAGTGTACTGATTTTGGCTACATATAGCATCTACCTGTGTTATATAGTATATGTAGTACAGCTAAACCCTGGATTACTATATACTAGCTGGGTGGCCCGCGCAATTGCGCGGCTAGCATATATACAAAATTATCTATCTTTTACATATATTTTACTTAAAATTTATTAAATAGTTATAACGTTATCTTAGAACTTTAGACCGAACCTTATCGTCCCGGTGTTTTTAGTGTTATAGTATACAAAAGTCACGTAAGTCGCTACCACTTACTATTTTGTCACATCTCCTTTATTTGCTTCCTCAATCTACTATTGTTTCTATTCATTATCTTTGGAATCTTTAAAAATTGGAACTTGTAGTTTTAGAGTATATATGGCTCATCCGCTGCATCCCCTCTTTGTCGTCATTGATATTTTAAAAATTGAACATGATTATCTTTTGGTGTGTTTTATTTTTACTTTCTAGAAGTCCCGCCAACCGTTGTGACAGTGCTACTTAACGGCTTATCCGTGTCCATCCTCTTAATCGTTATTGGTATTCTATTTGGGGTTTTATTTATAATATTTAGATGTCCTATCAACCGTCACCGCTCTATTTCTTTACAGGTATGTTGCTTCTCCCTTTTTTATTGTCGGTTGTCATCGTTGTATTCTAGATGGATTTGTTTTTGGAAAATTCCATATTTTTCATTCTGATATTTTTTTTATTTATTAATTCTATTCCTACATGAACTCGTCGATAATTCTTAGAAGTCCCGTCATTGACATCACTGTACTCCTCTACGACTCGTCCACTGCCTACTCTCTTTATTATCATTGGGATTTTAAAAAAGAACATAATTATTGTTTTGGTTCATTTTTTACTTTCTAGAAGCCGTGCCAAACCATCTGTGGCTTTGCCAATGTATTCCTCTGTAACTCGCCCGCTGTCTACTCTCTTTAATGTCATTAATATTTTAAAAAATGAATACGATTGTCATTGTGGTTTTTTTTTTACTTTCTAGAAGTCCCGCCAACCGCTATGATCATGTTGCTTAATGGCCTGCCCGTCGTCCCTACTCTTAATCGTTATTGGGATTCTATTTGGGATTTTGTTTATAATTTTTAGATGTCCCATCAGCCATCACCACTCTGCTTCTTTACATGTATGACCATGATCAAACCATTTAGATTTTTATAATCTGAGAATTTGTAAGCCTTAAGAGCAAACATAGATATATTATATGTGTATAAAACTATATCAATCAATATACACAATTAAAATCTAGATCCTTTAAATATTTCACTTTTTTGATTAATATGGTAATTTACGCCGCTTCTCAGCTCTACCTTATCCGTGGAGTATGAGCTATAACATATGGACCCTAAATATAGAAAAAACTATTAGGGAATCTTGTTACCTAGAATTTTCTTTTTAAAAAAACATACTATCTCTAGAGATTATGCGATAGTGCAAAACTTGAATGTGGTTGAAAGAGTTTGGATGCCTAGCTGGTTTGCCTCCCCTGCACATGATTTTGTACAGGGCGTGTCAATTGTGCATGTAAATTAAGTTAGCTATGTGGACATGACGTGATTGTCTTGTGTCAGTAAATTAAGTTTCCTAATCCGATTTTAATTTCAAAGGCTCTTATGCATAGCACATATAAAATTCTAGTTACACGCTCTTTCCCATGTCCGATTCATAAAAACAATCAAAAGAGTCAAGCTTTTATACATATTTTGATTAAATCTCAACCCTTATAGTCTAGATCTACTATGATCTAACGATATAGGTTTTTTCTTTTTCTCCGATTAATGTGAAAAATTCTAAACTTGTCCCATCCAACCAAAACCTTATCGTCTAGATCTACTATGATCTGACGATATAGATTTTTTCATTTTCTCCGATTAACGTGGAAATTTCTAAACTTGTTCCATCCAAACCAAAACTTTTTATATTTTGGGATGGAAGGAGTACCTATGAGATTATCAATGATCTATTTTAATCTGACCATATGACATACTTTGTGTTGATATTACACAGAGCAAGCCAATAAGATGGCAAACACTGACACACATACCTTAAAATTTCTCACTGCAAAACTGCTTACATATCACCAAACGTGTGATGCAAATCCATATATCATGTTCACAGTTGAAGCAACCTAGGCCTTTTTGTCCTTCGCTAGTGCGCTCCCGTGTCTTGCATTGGTTTATTGTCATGTATGTACGTATAATAAGATGGTATCTTTACAACAATGCTTCTTGCACTAATTAATAGGCTGAGAACGGTTGTATGGTTAGCTTTAGTTGATAGGAGAAGCATTAATCAGATATGGACTCTTTGTTAGTTTTCTTTCTCAAAATATTTGGATTCTAGCTCGTGTTGGGTTCGGACATATAGCCGAAACAAATATGCTAGCCAAAATAGCCAAGACACTTCCAAATAAGCATGAAACGGATATGCTAACCAAAATAGTCAGGACACATCCAAATAAGTATATTTTCTTAGACTTTGCATACTTTATGTTTAATCTCGAACGTTATATTTAGATCTATCATGATCTAACGGTTAATATCACGTATGTACGTATAATAAGCTGGTATCTTTATAATAAGCTGGTATCTTTATAACAATGCTTCTTGCACTAATTAATAGGCTGAGAACGGTTGTATGGTTAGTTTTAGTTGATAGGAGAAGCATTAATCAGATATGGACTCTTTGTTAGTTTTTTCTCTCTCAAACATATTTGGATTTTGGCTCGTGTTGGGTTCGGACATATAGCCGAAACAAATATGCTAGCCAAAATAGCCAGGACACTTCCAAATAAGCATGAAATGGACATGCTAACCAAAATAGTCAGGACACATCCAAATAAGTATATTTTCTAGGACTTTGCATACTTTACGTTTAATCTCGAACGTTATATTTAGATCTATCATGATCTAACGGTTAATATATTTTCCTTTTTCTCCAATTAATGTGGGAATTTCTAGCCTCCACAGCGAACATGGTGCCTCCTTTCAAAGCTGTTTTAATAATA